CACTGCCGGTGATGACATAGGTACTGCTGCTGGTAGAGTATGAAGAGGCTGAATGAATTCAGAGCCATCAGCGGACACAAGGATGTGCTGGAGCGGTTCTCCTGAACCTGAACTGGAAGATGTGAATAAACCTTGGGTGTTAAAAGTCCGCTTGTTCACTGTAGCTGTTTTATACTACGTTACCCATGATGCACCTCGGTATCTGTACTTCCTGTTGGGAACGTGTTCAGCGCAGCGCTGCACAGATGAGAGGTGTGTCGGAGGAGTAACGTATTAACGTGCATTCGGTGTGAGTTAATACTGCGTGCGTGCTTACCATGTGAGTATTGTAAGATGAGAGTGAGGCTTGTTGACTTTATCTGTGTAATTTGCTATCGCTAAGAGGCTAGTCCCGTTGCTATCGCTAAGAGGCTAGTCTCGTTGCTATCGCTAAGAGGCTAGTCCCATTGCTATCGCTAAGATGCGTTTTGTTTGGCCTACTACAGGCAGCCTTGTGTTCAGCCCATATTTCATTCCATATACGACTTACTGTCAAGCATTGTGGTTGTAGGTGGATGTAACTATTTACTATGTTTATTCTCTGAATCGTTGCAATCTGCAGAGGTCTGGTTTGCCAATGTATATACAAGCCAGAAATTCATTTATGGTCTTAGGGTGCCATCTAGTGGCCATGAGGTTATGGCAGATTGTATAACATTACGCTGGAAACCCACAGTACTGTATAAGGGGTACACTGCTATCCATAGTGGTTAATACAAATGTTTGTTCTTTCTGTTTACAGATGACCACACACACACATACCCATATACACACTCACACCCCCGTTACCTGCATGTGAATACTGTAATGCCTCCCTACCAACGCTGTACATCCTGTTGATGTCATCTGCCACCTCTTTAGTAAAGTTATTTGAACTACATCACTGTGGAGTACCATTCCTTCTGACCGAGGACGACTCAGTTGAAGCGTGATCGGCAATCAGTGCAAGCATACATACATTACATTGGGCATGCGTGGAACTGCTCTGGGGTTGGAAGTCTGTGATTGGACCTTGGAGTGTCCATCCTAAGCGGGTTTTGACTGCTGCAGGAGATCCAAATGGTCCATGTCTAACTGGTGCAATAGGCGTAATAAGGTGGGTATGATCAGAGCCTATGAGCAGTAGTGGAGCTGCTTTGTTAGTAAAGGTTAATGGGATACCTTGAAGATGCTTGTATCTCCGTTGAAGAGAGGATACGGGGTAGGTGTGGTCTGAAAGTGCTAAGTGACTTGTAGCGAAGGCATTATTAATTGTGTAAGTTTTCTCTGGATGTGCGATGGGAGAAATCTGGAAACTTACACAAGAACCTTGAATGGTTTCAACTTCTTGATGGACAGTTCTGAGTGATAATTTTTCAGCTTTCCCAGTTAGGTGGAGATGCTTAGCTGCAGATGTCAGAAGCATGGTACGTTGGGAGCCATCGTCAAGTATTGCATATGTTTCCAGGGTTCTTTTGCCATTACGCAGGAGCACTTTCACAACCTTTAAAAGGACACTAGGGCGATCGCTAGGTCTATCAAAGTACAGTGTCCTCACTACAGGATTAGTTTCAGTTCTAGGTCTCTGATTCACCTCACATAGGATCTGTAGATGTCTTTCCATGCAGGTGGCACATGCTTTCCTCAGATCACACTTCGCAGCCTGATGAGTTCTAGCACAACGCCAACACCGTTTGTTTGTCTTTATCCAGTTTATTTTCTCATCCTTTGTCTTCTGAATAAACTCGGGACACTTACTAATGTGGTGTTCAGGTGAGCGGCAATATGCACATCTTGCCTTAGTCATTATGATGGGTTGTGCTGCCTGTACAGGATCGGATGCATTTGTCCCATGTAATATTGTTGTGAGTGGAGAGGTGTACTTATGGGCAGGTCGTGGCTGGTTAGAGGATGAAACAGGACTGTCCTTTCTTGGTTGACACTTGCATTCCATTTGCAACCAGGATGAGAACAAAGGTAAGTCATACATCATATCTCCTTGTTCCCTGTAAATGTGCCGTTTGAAGCGACTGGAATGCTCTGCGGGCAACTTTTCAAGTAGGCGATCGACATGGGAGCCACAATTTAGTTCTGTCCGTCCTTGATCACCCATAGTGCTAAGCAAACCAACTAAAGCTTGTACACGAAGAGCAAAATTATCAAGACTCTGACCATCACCTGCTCTGATAGGAGGCAGTTCCAGTATATTCTTTAGCTCTTTCAATGCCAGCTGTCTTGGTTGCCCATAACGCTCATCAAGAGCTTTGGTGGCTTGAGTGTATGGGTCAGGAGCATAGGAAAAGGAAATAGCTAACCGTTTAGCTTGGTCTACTTTCAGATGATCGAGAAGGACATGATATTTGAAATGCTCTGTCTCATGAGGGTCAAGCAGGTTAGTAAGGGCCATTCGTAACAGCCTATACTGGATTTCATCTTCTCTGGTAAGGTCTGGGAAAGAAGGACCCTCAAGCTTATACACATGTGTTCTAGTGCTAACAGGGTGACTAGAACTAGCAGTAATGGGTACTGAAGGGTTTTGTGCATGCAAACCATCAGATGTAGCTGGTTGCTGCTTTACAGGAGGGTGCTGCCTTGGTTCCGGAATGCAGACAAGAGGTTGAGCGGGGTCTTCATCTAGATGAACAGCAGGTTGAACACATGAAATCTGGTGGGGACCTTGCAGTGGTGTGGCCAGGAAATTAAAAGGAGTCTCATCTGGTGTAGGAAAAACTGGTCTAGGCAAACCACTTGAAGGAACTGCAGCATCTAATATTGTTGAATTAGGGAAAGGAGGGCTAGCAGCCAGAACTGCACCAGAGTGACGGCTAACCTGGGGGGGCTGAGAGGGTGACTGACATGTTGCTGGATCAATCACTGGGAACTGCTCATGTTGCTGATGTGTTTGGGGAATGGCTTGTAAACCGCAAACAGAGGATTTGCTTTCATCAGAGACAGTGTGAATTGAAGATCTGGAGGAACTGCGAGAATGGGGAGGAGATAACTGAATCATGAATTGCCTAATCTCCCTCATTGTCATCAGGAGTTCCCTCATGACCTCATCTTGGTTGGTGGGTAAAGGAGCAGGGGATGTCTCTGGTTGTCTTTCTGACTCTCCGACAGGATCTTGCAGCCCATGTGTGTATGTGTCACTATGCTGGCATTCTGTTTGACTCTCTGTCTCACATGTAGCTCTTCTAGCTCCAGGATACTGAACATCATACTGCTGCAGGTAGGCAGGAGGTCGACTATCACGACTGGATCTTCTCAAACCTTCAGTCAATGGCTGCTTTGAATCCATGACGCTAATACCACTCCGGCTCGGAGGACCATGTTTTGGAGGAAGGAAGGTTCAGGGTTTCAGTAGTCATCATCATGGGCTCATCGGATTAGAATGAGAATAAGCAGTCGTCATTTGCAGGTTTTGTCGTTTTATTGTATAACAGGTAAAGGAAAGAAAGACACACATGGACTGCTCTCTCTAAAAAGGACATAAAGTATGATTTAAGTAACTCAAAATGATACATGAACTCAGGAGACTCAAAGAGAAACTCACCTCAGCTGCCGCCCCATGTGGGAGTGAGTGAGGGGTAGGTGAGTGCAGTCCTTATATAACGAGTGACAGGTGAGTGCAATTAAGGCCAAGCACCACACCCAATCAAAGGTGAGGAAAAGAAACAAGGTGCATCTGGTGAAGTGAATGTGCTGAAAGGTGAGCCTTTACAACACCCACCTTGTTCACCTGATCTGGACCCCATTGAGAACCTGTGGTCCATCATCAAATGTGAGATTTACGAGGAGGGAAAACAGTACACCTCTCTGAACAGTGTCTGGGAGGCTGTGGTTGCTGCTGCACGCAATGTCGATGGTGAACAGATCAAAACACTGACAGAATCCATGGATGGCAGGCTTTTGAGTGTCCTTGCAAAGAAAGGTGGCTATATTGGTCGCTGATTTGTTTTTGTTTTGTTTTTGAATGTCAGAAATGTATATTTGTGAATGTGGAGATGTTATATTGGTTTCACTGGTAAAAATAAATAATTGAAATGGGTATATATTTGTTTTTTGTTAAGTTGCCTAATAATTATGCACAGTAATAGTCACCTGCACACACAGATATCTCCCTAAAATAGCTAAAACTAAAAACAAACTAAAAACTACTTCCAAAAACATTCAGCTTTGATGTTAATGAGTTTTTTGGGTTCATTGAGAACATGGTTGTTGTTCAATAATAAAATTATTCCTCAAAAATACAACTTGCCTAATAATTCTGCACTCCCTGTATATCTAACTGATACCTCTTGACCTCATGCACTTACTCAGGCTCTTTCCCCACCAGAGAGGTGACATCCCATGTCCCAAAAGGTAGTCTCAGTACGGAGGAATCGGTCCACCATTTAACACATAATACATCCAACCCCTACAGAAACCCCCGAGAACATGGGTCACACAAACCCCTCCACCACGATAAGATAGCGATTCATGGAGGGGCTAACAATAGGGATTTCTTTTCTTTGTAATAGTTTTATTATTTGAAACTAAACATATCTCCTTCCAAGTTTGACCAGGAAAACTGAAGCATGTTTTCAGACAATTTCTGTATACTTAACCATAAGTATGTTTCATGGGATAATTGTGTTTTTCTACCCTAACCTATGCAAAGTAAAATAAACTGAGTAGTTTCAATCAGAACTACCTAATGAGTGAAACACATTTTGGCTAAGACTCTGCTGAGACAAATTTAAAGCAGTACTTAATATATATCAGATTAATGTATCGTGTTTCACATGATAATTCCAATGACCTAATTCCACAGGACTTACACTGACCTACACGTGTGTCAGTGTAACTCTTGATGGTAACATCAGAGTTTCTGGATTTGTTCCTATAGCACTGATTTTAAGAGTCCATCAAGCCTGAGCCTATAAATTAACCATACTGTCAATAGCAGTAAAGAAGAATACTGTTTGGCAGAATGTACATACAGCTAGATGAATCCCTGGAGAGTGGCGTGAATGGCTCCGCTGTAATGCAAGGGAGAAACAGAAAGAAAAGAAAGGAGAGATGAATATTAGGAATATTGAGAAAGATAGAAATGATATACAGATGAGGACAAAATATTTATCCAGGTATGTTCACCAATTTCTCGATTGGGGAACATCTATAAATTATTATAGCTAATTACGTATATTATTCTAGTTGACAAATTTTTATTTCTTTGTGTGAGCCCCACCTAAGTGTGCAAAGGGATCAATGAGTTACATTAGATTGGAAGGCAGGTGGGGCAGGGGAGAATCAACTCATCACTACCCTCCACATGCCATAAGATATGACTTCCCACCACCATCCCAAATAACCCCCAAAACCTATAGGAAGCCCTAATTTCCTTTGCATAAATACAGTCATTATGAATCTTATGTTTGAATCGGCTAGGCTTTTGCTATACATTATAAAAAATTGTAAGAAGCAATACAGGTAAAGTTCAATCCCACCAGGTTAGATACCGTCGAGGAGGGAAATTATTTTACTGCTATTGTTAAATAATTGTCATTGCATTAATAATATAATTTGCAGCATGGATATTGCACTCCAAGGTTTAAACAGTGTCTCTTTCAGAAAGACTGAGTTGCAGGCTGACAGGAAGTTGTATGCAGAAAGAAGCAGGAAGTTATTTTGAGCCGCAGGCTAAGACGAGGCTTTAACAATGTAACAGATAGCTTTATCATTTTATATTAAGGTTTTAGTAGAGGTTCTTGATTAAAACATTTATTTAGTAGAAGACATACACATAGTCTCAGTGAGCTTCTGGTCTGGTAAAAGGTCAGAAGTGCAACAGGTGAATTGAGAAAGAGCATTTGAGGACGAGACACAGACAGTAGGTGAAGAGGTGACACAAAGAGCATGTGAGGTCAACACACACACACACACACACTTTAAATTAGATTTATTTAGAGGAGAGGTTAGTTATGTTTGGCTGTAACTGCAAAATTGTCTTGGTAAAAGAGGAACCGTTTCTTGGTGTCTCGGCAAGAAAGAGGAACAAGACAAGAACTGAAAGGTAGACAGGAAGGGCTAGCCATGAAAATAGAAGATGATTTTCTAGGTAAAAAGTCATGATGATGTTGATCTGATCTATGTATAAAATGTATCTGTGACGCATGAAGGGGCGTCAGTAAACAAACCCTGATGCTATAAAATATCTGTTCATGCTTTGATTAAGTCGAAGACTACTTCCTGTCTGCGTACAGAGTTCTCTTCCCACGCGTGTATTCATTAAAATCATCGTTTGACTTCACCCGGCCGGATCGGTGTGGTTATTCTTCGATCACCTCTTGTACCCTTCCTCAATATTGAATCTTAACATTTGGGGGCTTCGTCCGGTTATTGAGGAGGGAGAGTTGGAGGTTTGGACGGAGAAATCCGGGGTCTTGGGTGGTCTGACGGGCAGACGTGAATTCCAGTGGTCTAAGTGAGTGGGCATAAGCCGGCTTATCCAAAAGGTAAGGCACTACCTGTTGAATTATTTCCAAAGTGTGCCAAATTGGACATGATAAAATTTAAGTCTACTCACTGAAGTTACTGGTGGATGTCTGTTTTGATTTTGATGAGAATGTCATGACAGTACTGAGGATTTAAAGCAGTTGGACTGCTGGTAATGATTGAATGCGGTTGGACCGTTTAGTATGTTAGGGAATCTGGTTATTTTTTGGTTATAAGGTTGGACCTGCTTCAGTCTTACACTTTGTTGGGTGTTTTATTGTTGTTCCAAAGTATTATAAATTACTCAAGAACGCCAGTTGGACTGGTAGGAAGCGCAGTGCTCAGAGGTAACGCTTGCCAATGCAAAGGACGCTTATGCATTGTCCTCGAAGAGGGATAGTCAGTTGGTCACTGTGGAGCTTGGGGCACTCCAGAATAACTAGGAGTTAGAATCTCCTTACCGTTTGGAACGGTATCTGCGCTTTTTTGGGCAGCAAAGGTTGGATCTTGGGTGTTGGACACTTTTAAATTGAGTTAGGGACTTTAGAGATGAGGCCAGAAACTGTTGGACAGATACTGGTTAATTGATTACAAAAAAGTTGGACTTTTATCGGTTAGACCGTTAACTTAAATTTTTCGAAATTCGGTAGGTGTTAAAAGGCATAAAATCTGTGCAGTTGTAAATATAAGACGTCTCTGTATTAAAAAAGATCTCTGTGGGTCGAGTCAGCAATGCACTGACTGCCTGCTGCTATTCTTAGATGAAGAGTGTGTGTGCATGCAAATGAGGCAGCTGATGCAGAGCGCATGAGAGGACTATGCTTTCGGTTTTGTGTGTCATTCAGCTCTATAACTATTGTTTGCAAATGTGGATAAATGTCTGCAGTTAAAATGCTGGCTTAGTAAATAACAACATTGTAAATATATGAATGGTGACAGCGTTTCAAAATAGAATATAAGAATTGTTTGTGTTTAAAACCAACGTTTAGGTAAAGAAGATTTAAGGTGGATTTGAAGGCATAAACAAAAAATAAAAGGGTTACAGTCTGCAAGGGTTGTTAATTCATGAGCTGACTGGATGCAGAGTAAGTGGAGTGGTCATCCTGAGAGGATTGAATGATGCTCTAACTCTGTGGTCAAGTCAGACATAGGCTTTAAGCAACCATGAGCCACTAATAAGCGTGACAAATTAATGAGTATGTGTAAATTGAACTTGTTAAATAGTTTTGATAGGAGTAACTCAATGAGCACGCAATAAAGTGGACTTTTTAGGGGCAGTTTATCACTGACACCATAAAAAGCAACTTAATTAGTAGTTCAATAACAAATTGTAAAGATAACCTTTGTTATTTGATAAGAGAGAGAAAATTCAGGTTACATATAGTGAATAAATAAGGAAATGTTAATCTCTGCGTCATTCCACACTGAAATTTCAATTGTAGGGGATCATTTGGAGGTGAATTGTGTAGGACACGGGGAGACAGAAGAATCTCCCCATGAGTTTTCAGTGTGCATAGAAATTGAGGAGGCTGAACTGGAAGCCTGCCTGGGTCGTTGTTTTTGTTTATTTGAGGGTCTGCTGGAAGTTTGTGAAAACGACCACCTTGATATGTGGGAGCCTTCTCGGGCAGCGATTTTTTTGTTAAACCGGTGGCAGGCTGTGCAACATGGAGAAAGCTTTGACATAATGTCATAAAGGTGATTTCTTGGTTTTAGATTTATTAGTACGGGACAAGTTGAGGGACCCTTGAGGGTGTGTTGCTGTAAAGTATATAAGGGACGCGCAGCGCCGTTAATGGGTTTAAAATAAATGAAAAAACACTAATCCGAGGAACTATTGGAGAGGTAAGTATACGGAGGTGAGCGCGTTGCGCATAAGGGTTGCTGGTGTCATATATTAACACTTTGAGGGCGAATAATTTTGATTGAGTGTCAACGCTTGAGAACGCGAGGACAGCGTCTAAAGTGCTGGGTTAAACCTTGTGTATCACCGAGCAGGGGAAGAGGAGCCAGTGGTTGCGAGAACAGCGAGACGAAGACTGAAACCGAAAGTTAGGCGTGTCTGGGTGACCTAGACCAAGAAGGTGGAGTCGACCAACGCCATTGGAAGAGGTAAGTCTGTGTTTCAGAGAATGGCTGACAGATCGGGTGCGACACCTAGTAGGAAAAGGGGATGCAAACCTCTGAAGGATCAGTTCGAACAGCTTAAGAAAGCTGTTCGCTTGGCTTCCCCTGGAGTATCAAAATCAGCAGAGAAAGAGTGCCAAGCGGTGGAGGTTGAGGTAAGTAAACCTATTATATCCCAACAGAAAGGGCTGGGTGATAAAATACCTCTGAGCTTGGTGTTAAAAACTGAAGGAGAAGTGTATGGACAAATGCATGAGGCCCTACGTGCGTCCATAGAGGCATTAACGGCATTGGAGGTTATAAACCAGAAGAGGAGAATGAAGACCGTGCGACGTCATCAGAAGAAGACGATGAGGAGGACGAAGATGGAGGAGCTGAACCCCAACCAAGTACAAGCCTAATTTTGAGGAAAAGAAGTGTGAAGAGAGACCAAGCACAGAGACAGCCCATATTTAAGAGCTCAAAGGGGAAAGGAAAGTTGAGGAAGAGTAGAAGAGTGAGTTTTGAACAAGGAGCTCCTGACCCTGGTTTAAGTCTGCCTCTAATAGCAGGTCCAAAGAACGAACCAGTTTATCGCGCCTATAAGGTGAGAGATTTGGAAGCATTGGTTAAACAACTTCCACCAATAACCAAGGGAGAACATTGGGAAGGAGAAGAATTAGCGCTGGGCGACTTTCGCACTTTGGCCGGACGTTGTATGCTGGGTGGTGGGTTAGCAGATGTAGAGCAGATAGCTCAAACAACCAGATATGCAAATGACCTGAAATATCATGAGGTGCAGAGTGACTTAGCAGATGCAGTTCGGGGAAGGACCCAACTCCTAACTTTGGAGCCATTCCAAAAATTATTTGGGATCCCAAAAAGAAACCCAGAGAGTGTTTAGCTAAAGCAAAGGAACAATGGTTGTTAGGAACAGGAATACATCCGGGGAAGGAGGGCGAAAGTAGAGCGTGGTTTCGTTCGGCAGTGCTGGCAGGGCTGCCCAATCAGGTTGCAGTTGACTTGGAAAAGAACCCAGATTTTGCCGTTGCAGACTCGGTGCAGTGGGAGAGACATGTGACCCACAGACTTCAGCGGGAACAGGATTTGGCAAACAAACAAAAGAAAGAGTTAGATGAAGTACAGGCGCAGCTGCTTAGGCTGCAGCTGGGTGAGGCTCGCGAAAAATATAATGCGAAGAAAAAAGAACCGAAAGAACTAAATAAGACTATAATGGTGGCAAGGCCTCAGCCCGATCCTGTGCCTGACTGGCCAGATCAGGATCCGGGTCTCTACCCTGATGATCGTTGGCCCGCCAATGCACCAAGGCAGCGTCAACCCGTAGGGAATTGGGGACCGGTGGACCGCAGAGAGGGCGTGGTGGATCCGTGAGGGGAGGACAAAGGGCTCGGAATCCGGGGAATCCTGGCAGAGTGTC